TTTTTTTTTTTTTTTTTTTTTAAACACACAGACGTCTGGGGAGGGAAGGTTAAATCAGTAATATCTATACTACACTGTGAAATACTCAAAGAAAATGTGGCTTAAAAATACAAAGTAGTCCTAGGCACTGAGTATGTGGGAGCCCCAAGGGCCCTGCCCCCCACCTTGGGAAGAGGCCAGGATGACCACCCATCCCTAATTGAAGACTAACAAACCCAGGTTGCTGCAAGGGGCTGTGGGGAGTGGGATGTAGGGGGTGCCACATGCATGTGTGCATGAACACATACATGGGGCCAGAAATATGCCCAAGGCAGCAGTGGAGACCAGATCACCTGGTGACAGTCTATAAACTCACTAGGGGGGACCAGAAGGGTTTGGGAGAGACCTTGTTTTCCCCTAGCGCCCCCTGGCATAACAAGGAATAACAGCCATAAGTTGTTGGAGAGTAGGTTTAGATTAGACATCCGTAGGAACTACTTCACAGTTAGGGTGGCTAGGATCTGGAACCAACTTCCAAGGGAAGTGGTGCTGGCTCCTACCCTGGGGGTCTTTAAGGGGAGGCTTGATGCCTACCTAGCTGGGATCATTTGAGCCCAGTTTTTTCTCCTGCCCAGGCAGGGGGTCGGACTTGAAGATCTACAAGGTCCCTTCCGACCCTATTTCTATGATTCTATGATCACCAACTGTCTGAAGGTAAATTTTATGAGGTTCAGGGTGGCAGATCGAGGCCCCCATGGTGGGAGAGGGAGCGGTGCAGGGACTGGGCCTGGGGGCATTGCCTAGCCAGTGCACGAGGGCTGGGGCAGGGAGGGAGGCAGAGCCATGGGCGGCTTGTCCAGGTGGTAGGGGGTGGCTCCCTGCCACTCCATGCACTCCTGGGGAGGAGTGCATGGGGGGCACATGTCCCCCAGGTTTGTGTGCAGGGCAGGGGTGGATGTGGGCTGCCTGCTGGGGGGCTTGGGCACCCTGCCATCCTCCCCTGGGAGCCCCACACCACCATGGCAAGGCACCCCTACCCACCTGGCTGCAGTGGAGGTGGGGACAGTGGCACAGAGTTGTGCTCCCAGTGCTGCCAGGTGAGTATGCAGCACCTTGCCATGGTGGTACAGCTGGTGTGGGGCTCCCAGGGGCAGGGCGGGGATCCCCAAGCCCACAGTGGACCAGCTGCATCTGCTCCTGCCCCTGCACAGGCTCCACTCAGCTCTGCTTCAGCCATGCCGCCAAGTAGTTGGGGCTTCATCTTTGGCCCCCTGCAGCAAAAATAGAAGTTTGTGCCAATAAAAGTAGTACTGTCATCAATAAAGAGCTTCAACTCTGTCGTGACTTTTCTTCAAGTTATTGCAGGCTGCCCTTTTTAAAAAGCAATGTTGCTGCTCCCAACCATTTGTGCAGCTCTCCCTCATTATAAACCTTATGTTTCATTAAATAAATCCCTATGTTAAAAAAACAAACAAACAAACAAACAAACAAACAACAGACCATATTCTGAAAATAAGAGGGAGTTATAGTCTCTAATCAATCAATAGATTCAATCCAGAAAACATTCTGTAAGCAAAAACTGAGGTCAGTCCATTAGAATTCTGCCCACAGCAAATTTAGAAGATCAGGCATAATTTGCCCAAGTCTTCTCAGGACATCCATCATCCAGAAAACCACACAATGGACCAAATCATCCTTTGGTGTATGTGGAACTTATACCAGCGTAAAGACAAAGATCCTTTAAAATATTAATGTAATAAAGGAATGTGGCAGGTTGCGACCAAACACCAATGTGCTGTGTTGGACCTTTACTATTCCTAAGTCTCACCTTGAATCTTATGTTCACATAGTAGTCTGTAATGATCCTGGCATTTTCCCGAGACTGTCTCATGCAGCTCATGCTAGGTGGCTTGATGAAGATAATGTAGGGTTTTAGTTCATGGGTTCGAGCCACTTGTATTCCCTACAATCAATCAATTAGTGGGCAAGTTAAAATATATTTAACGGGAACAAAATCTGGGATAAAAACAAAAGCATTATGTACAAACTATTACAATTTGCAGACCTGGCAGTAATCTTATTCCAGAACACCTGTTATAAAATGATCTCATTAGTAATCCCCAGGCCTGCCATTGTTAAGTACCTGCACCACACCAATTACTTAATTCTGTACAGTTACCTTATTAAGAAATGATCAACTTCAATAAATAAAACCCCACATTAATAGCGTTTAAATTACCTAGGGTGTTTTTACATGTGCTCTGGTGGGTTGGGGGGGTGCAAATTTTAATTAGAGTGGGTCTCGGGAGTCACTTTAATCAAAACACCCGCAGTCTATTCAGTGTCCCATGCTCCAAAATGGTGGTGGGGTGCTTTAGCTAAATTACTGTGCTGTTTTACAACAATAATCAGTACTTGTGGATTGTTGTAAAACAGTAAGAGGCACAAAACATGAAAAAGTACAATAGCAATAAGAGCTACGTTCTGCTATCCTAGCAGGATTACGTTTCTATTTTTCATTGGGAACCAAATTTAAGGGAAGACATTGAACACGTAAGTGGCTGCAGGGACACAGAGCACACCTTCCTGGCCAGTAATTCTGCTTTTGAGCAACACCCATTATTTCAGACCCACAGTTGTCTAATTTCTAGTTTTCATCTCTCTAATTAGCAAAAAAAACACTACCAGCCTAATGCTTGAACAATGTTGGCTCCATCTACCCAAAGGAAATTTCTCACTGGAGTTTATTGGGCCATGCTGCCTTTCTTCCATTTACGTTTTTAAATGTTATAAAATTAAAAAACTATTAATGCCATTAAATGAATGAATTGTTTAAGGGAAAATATCTAAACAGAGTTCTTTGCTGGACTTAAGTCTTCAAGATCTCTTGGACACCTACAAACTCAGACCTTTTTGCCTTATCCTGCTCAATGTTAAGGCTGGAAAAAAGAAAGCCCACAATGTAGGTAGAAAAAGAAAACTTAGACAAGTTTTCTTATTTTCTTTCCTGGACTCAGAAGAAAGGGTTTCTGTAGCGCCCAAAAGAAATTATCTGACGTGATAATCGCAATGGATGCCTCAACATTTCACTACTGTAGCTCTTCCCAGGGAGCACATTAAAAAAAAAACAAAAAAAAAAACCTTTAAAATGATACCCTACTCTCCCCCTACCTCTTATCTACCTTAGAAGGGAATGGCTACTTGCTCCTTAAGAATTCTCTCATCTCCAGTCTGATTCTGATGGATCATTGAGAAGAGGAAATAAAAAAGTTCCTTCTCTTAGAGACTATTTGGGAAAACGGTTTAGTGGGCAACTCTGTAGTGTTTTGTATATATCAAAGGTGTCGTATGTCTGTCCTGTGGAGCTCCCAGAGGAGTTAGGACTTTGGGGATGGATCCCACCACAATTTCATAGCCTCATTAGTGGCGAGTGACAGTAGCATATTTTTTATATACGGTAGCAGAAGAACAGGCACATTTAAGCTGTAGAAACAGACTCTCACAGGCATCTATTAAAAGTTGGCCTGATGCTTTTATTAGATTAGTTTCCAAACTACATACTAACCCAATATTCAGCTGTTAGCAGCACTTATTCAAGATGGACATATGTGATCTGACAGTACACATTTTCCCCCCAAAACAAATTTTCAATTGAAAATGTGCAATTGTATATTTTGACTAGAACTCCAATTCTGGGGGTAAACACAATATAAATTAAACAGCAAATGCAGTTTGTATGCATTCTAAACAGTTGAAGTTTCCAGTAAGCAGGAGATTACAATTTTATTAAGGTTTAATCCAATTTTACCATAATTTCACTAACTGAGCCTTGTCTTTAATCAGTGATACAATGATAGAGATGCTACAGAACTATGCCTCAGGGTAAAGTTCAACCTGCATCTAGCAATTATACTAATGATTCCCCATAAGAAAGACCCACCACCAAATTTCCAAATGTGTGGGGAGTCCCACTGGCCAGAGGCTGAGCACTGCTGATCTATGGAGTGGTGGTAGTTCTCAAATACATGATTAAAATGGTGTTAGCTGCTTCTACTGCTTCAAAAGAAGTATATTGAAACAAGTAGTTCTTAAATTTATGGGTGGCTTCTTTTGAATCAATGGACTCCCATCAGCCCTCAGAATATTTTGCTAACCACCATCTCCTCCAAGCTTCTCCCCACCAATTCTTTTTCAGACTTCTAACTGAAAAGGGCCAATCTGATACAATCTATAGACAACTCATCATAGCCTCACGGACCACAGTTTGGGAACCACTTTACCAAATACTTTCCTAAGCATATCTTTTCACTTAAAAATTGCTGTTACCACAAGGATATTACATAGTTCAAAAAGAAGCGATGGCATGCTGCACAAATCATAAACCTGAAGGGAGATGTTCATGACAGAAACCTCTGCAGGAAAGTGCGGCTTCTGCTGGGAATGAGTTCAAAGACTTATTGCACCCTTACTTTTGATCCAGACATGCACATGTACCTTTGATAAAAACACCCGTAATTTATGCTTGTCACTAAGGCCGAATGCAAAAAAGAGAGGCATCTACTTCCAACAAGTGTCATGAGAGGAATTATGCTGTTTCTTTCTACGATCCTATTTCTTCCATAAAATGCAGGTCTTGGATTTTTGCCCAACTCACCTGAGGTTCTAAATCAACTATGCAGACCTTCCCTTCATCCAGGACTGTTCGCACAGCATCAACACTGGTGCCATATAGATTTCCTTTGTATTCCCCATACTGCAACATTCTGCAAAAGTGATGAGAAGGGAAGGAAGGGAGAAATGGGAAAGAGCCTTTACATTTTCAGATTGAGTGTCCTAGTTAAATACACAATCAAGGCTAGGGATAGACATTCAAAAAGCCCGAGCCTGAATTGATTCAATCTTTGCAGGTTAGCAACAAACCAGAGCTCATCTCTTCTGACTAACAGTACTGGAGCATAACTTCAGAGCTGTCCTGCCTTGGAGCATGCTGAACATTAAAAGATGGTGAGAAGAAAGCAATATTACAGAAAGGAACTCTAATATGCCTTCAAAATTACCTGTGAGTATAGACCAAATTTTCAAATGTTTCCTTTGATACATAGTGATACTCACGACCATTTACTTCATAACTCTTCTGAGCACGTGTAGTGTCTGAGAGAGAGAAAAAAAGTCAGTATTAGGACAGTTTCTAATGAAAAATAGAAATCTCCAACCACTATCTTTCTTAAACTGAAGTTGAAGATTTTAAACTCTTCATTTTTACAAGTAATCAGAAAAGTAATACATGATTTTTTCCCCCCAAAAGAAAACCCCAGCTATACAACCTTTAGATTAGTAAAACTTCCAAAAACTGTACTTCCTTGAGTCTCCATTTGAACATATGGAGCATCGTTGCTAGAACCGTTTACAGTTTTTAAACTGTTTTAAGGCAGTAATAAGTTTGGGAATTTTCCTACTAAATTTTTTTGGGGGGGGGGGGGGGAATGTCAGTTTTGTTTTCTTTTTAAGCCAATATACTTCATAAAATACATTGGTTAAGAATTGGAAGTCTGGTAACACAAGGTTCCAAAAGATCCAGAAGCCTGTCAAACCATTTTAATCAGGTTAACAAATCTTTCATTCATAGGCAGGACTAACCTTATGGTTACTGCATAATATAATACACCCATCAGGGAGCATGTTTCTCTGTCATTTCTGTGTTGCTCTGTCATCAGCAAGGAATTATCAATACAGGTGTGGCCTGCTTCATCAGATCCTGAAAGCCCTCTATGTCCTCTGATTGACAGGTATAGGCTAGATGAGCGGGGGCCTGGGAATTCTGATCCAGGAACATAATGCTCACTGCAATCTA